TTACCCTGCCTCTCTTGGGGAGACTCGTGCCCATGTTGTGTGAACAACTCTGCACGAGCACCTAAGGAGGCTTACCTCCTTACCAGCCCGTGGTGGCGCGTACGTGTCTCTACTGAGATGTACGAAGGGATTGACAACTTAAAATCCCTTTACGACCGTGCCGGGAAGACTTTCTCCGGCGGTCCTTCTGCGGCACAGGATGTGCCGCGTCGTACTGCTCAACCAGACCCAGTACGTCGATCATCAGTTGGTAGCGGGGCTCCCAAGAATCCCAGGACGGGGGATAGCCGCGCCACCGGACGAGATAACTCGTCCGACGTCCGTTCACGTCGCGGTGGTTCAACAGCTGCTCAACTAGATAGCGCTGGTCACCGCGAGAGTCCTCTAATGGAGGTGGAGGAGGAGGAAAGACGCTCTCCACACGATCATGTGGATCGGTGTGTTCCCGAGAGCTTCTTTGATCGCGTAACGCAAGGGTTACGCGACGATCTCGAGCAGGAGCGGAATAGGCGTCTCCAAATGGCGGACACTGCCTCGAAGCATCGAGCTGAGTTTGCCTTTGCTCAGCTTGAGAACGAGAGATCTCTGACATCTCTTCGTGACGAGCTAAGGGTAGCTCGTGGGATTGCTGATCGGTCTCGGGATGAGATAGTTGCTCTTCAGACCCTTGTTGATGCCCACCATCGGGAGCACAAGGCTCTCTGCGAGATGCTTGAGCGCAAGGGCGTTCTTCATCGGAAGAAGCAGCGTACTGATGGTACGGCTTAAGCCGACCAACGTAAAACGTGGGATGCGTTCGCATCTTACGTGGTAATTCGATCGTGTATGCATTGCCTAGGCGGTGCAATACACGAAATGGGCCAATGTACTTGGGTAGTAGTTTACTGCTACCCAAGTTAGTCACTACATGCTTTGGTAGATTAACCGTAGACAGTAGGACTAAGTCACCTTTATTAAATAAAAGAGTGTTTGCCCTTCCATTCTTGTCAGCGTTTTGCTTTTGCTTATCCACCGCTTCGGCGATGGAGTCTTGCACAAAACGGACTACCGTTTCACGAGCCAGTATGAACTCATCTGATGACTCGTTAGCTTCAGTGTGCTGTGAGTGCACTGCAGCAACATCAACCTTTTCTTCAGTGAGGGCTTCCGCACTCTCACTGGGATCATCTTCTTCAGTGAGGGCTTCCGCACTCTCACTGGCATCATCTTCTTCGATATCGATGTTATAGATATCGGCATCAAACGCAATGATCTCTTCGTCAGAGCGTGATGAGCGTGAACCAATTCGGTTTTTGCTCGCGCGAGTCCCTCCCCCCCTTAAACCAGAGTTACACTCTAGTAAGGTGGGTACACGCGGATGGCGCAAGCCATTCACGTAAAACGGTGTATGTGTCGTGGACGCATGCACCGAGTTGTTGATGGCAAACTCTACCATTGGCAAGAACTCACTCCAACTCTTAAAGGAGTGTACGTATCCTCGAAGTATCTCTTCGAGGACACGATTGGCACGTTCCGTCTGACCATCTGACTCTGGATGATCAGATGTCGACATCTTCAAGCGCGTTCCGAGTGATTTGAACACGGAACGCCAGAAATCAGCAGTGAATCGTGGATCTCTGTCTGATACGAGTTCACGGGGCAACCCATGAAGTCGGAAGATGGTGTCAATAAAGACACAAGCACAGCCACTTGCCGTGATTGTCTCTGGTTCAGCCACAAGGTGTACTATTTTGCTGAATCTGTCAACAAATACGAGAATACCCGTATTCCCGCGTGCGTCTTTGGGTAACCCGAAGACGAAATCCATTGAGATGGATTCCCAGCACTCAGCCGGAACCGGTAGAGGCTGTAAAGGTGCACGCAGTGAAGGACTTGACTTCACTCGTTGACAGACTTCGCATGCGCGAATGTACTTTCGCACAAACTGATACTGGCGGGACCAGTAAAAGTCTCGACTTACCGTGAGATATGTTTTCTCTCGGCCACGATGTCCTCCTATAGGAGCATCGTGATACTCGAACATGATCCGCAAACGCAGATCAGTATCATCTGGAATGACAACACGTGGTGTGTCACCAGAAACGGCTGTATAGTACAGTAAACCGTTACGAGTAGTGTATCGATCTGATGCAGATCGATACGCAGACGACAATCGTTTCAACGATTCTCGAGATGGTTGGGAGAGATGTGTCAACAACTTCACTATCTCACCATCTTGGGCGTATGCCCGCCTCACATCATCATACAACGTTGTAGATGGGACTGAGGACGTCATAACCACAACAGTGACTGTCTCACTGTTGGGTTTCGCGACTGTTTCAAAGTCGGGACGACGTGAGAGTGCATCAGCGACGACATTAAGTCGTCCTGGTTTGTACTCGAACGTAAAGTTGTATTCCGCAAAGAATGACAACCACCGCGTCATTCGTTGTGAAAGGTTCGGGCTGTTCACTGCCGTGCGTAATGACGCATGGTCAGTGTAAACAACGAAGGGTCTATCTCCTAATAGATAGACTCTGAACTTCGCGAGTGCATACTTCATGGCAAGGAGTTCCTTGTCATGCACTGGATAGTTCCGCTCAGCTGGTTGCAGCTGACGCGACTGATAGCAGACGACGCGTTCAACGCCTTCAAGATCGTACTGCATTAATGCACAGCCGATTGCGAAATCGCTGGCATCACAGACCACATGAAATGGCCTGTCCTGATCGGCTATTGCTAGGACTGGGGATTGTATCAAGCTCTGCTTGATACCCTCAAAGGAGCGTTGACATTCAGCGTTCCATAACCACCTCTCGTTCTTTTTCAACAAACGAGAGAGGTGTACAGTCATCTCGGCGTAATTGCGTGAATACTTGTGCAAATACGCCGCTAGCCCAAGGAATTTTCGAAGACCTTTGACATCAACCGGCCAGGCCAGTCGGTGATCGCCTTGATCTTTTCGGGATCAGGACGTACACCATTCTTACCAACGATGCACCCAAGAAGTGGTATTTCGCTTGCTGCAAATATACACTTCTTGAGGTTAGAATACAATTGATGCTTTCGCATGATTGTAAGAACTTGTCGGACGTGGTACCTGTGAACCTCAACGTCCAACTTTCCATCCATAGCTCGACTATGGATGAATACGTCATCGAAATAACTCGGCGCGAATTCTCGTACTGGTCTCAACAGATGTGATACACATCTGTTGAACGTGGCAGGGGCATTACTGAGCCCTTGTGGCATTACTAGCCATTCCCAGAGCATGCCGCTAGGCGTGCTAACTGCGGTATAGGGTATATCCCGTTCCCGCATAAGGATTTGATAGAAGCCATCCATCAAATCCATGGACGAAAAGATAGTACTCTTTGACATACCATCAATGATTACGTCCTTCCTCGGTATCGGCGTCTGAGCCGGTACCGTTGCAGCGTTCAATTTGTTGAACGCGTGCACTATCCGCCACCCTCCTGTTGCTTTTCGCACACAGAAGGTCGGAGAGCTATGTGGGGAAGTTGATTCCCTCACATGGCCCGCAGCTAAACGATCGGCAAAGAACTTGTCGATCGCAAGTAATTGTTCACGAGGCAGTGGCCACTGCTTCATGACACAGTACTTCGAGCCTGGTTTAAGCTCGACCTCGTGTCGAATACCTTTATCCTTCGGTAATTCGCACGGAACAGTTTCAGGGAATACATCCTTGAATTCAACCAAATCTTCATAGAGAGGATTTTTCTTGAGCGATTCCCATGATTGGGAGTCATATCGCTCAATTCGTGTCTTTTCATCTAGGACACTCTCGTCCATAGATGAACTACTGAGAACTCTCTCGTTCTCAGTGAACACTGTTGCTGATCTTATGTCGGTTACACACTCGTCGTCAGCGACGAGTACGCAGATCTGCTTGACTTTGCCACTACGCAGATCACGCAAGAACCTTTTATGTTCGAGCGTTGGCAACTGAGTGATCTCCGAAGTCAACTTCGGAAGCGCAATCAGATCAAGTGTGTAAGCGCCCACACTTGATCCGTTATTGACTATGACATTCAATGTCTCTGTCATTTCCTGGGGACTTACTCCCTCAGGCCTCGAAAGACTTGTTCCTTCGGCTTCCCGGGGACTTATTCCCTCGGATTTCGGGGAACTTATTTCCGCCGTGTCTGTAATATCGGGACTTATTCCCTTTACTTCCTCTAGCTGTGGTTGCGCAACCACAGCAAGATCCTCTACGAAAGACTCTCCAGTCGATCTAGGATTATCGTTTCGCTTAACCTGAGCGATCGATTGTTTCTCTTCTAGATGTTCCCCGCTAGGGATACATCTTTGTCCCAGTCCACCCGACTTATTCGAGTGGTGGACCTTCGGCGCAGCCTGTGTTTCCTCACAGCCGCCGGAACTTTGCTCCGAAGTGTAACCGTTTGTTACACTAAGGTTTTGTGCAGTCGTAATAACGACCGTACCACAAGTGAGGCCATCGCACTCACTCGTAGTACATCCACACGCTTGTGGACGCTCCAAAACGTTCATCAGATGGCCATCTGATGAACAAGCGGCAGGCATCGTTACTGTTCGATGTTGCCAGTTTACCCGTGGTTCGTACCTTCTGAGCCACGGTATTCCAAGGATGACATCAAATTTGTCATCCAAATCCAATACGATAAAGTCATCGTCATATTGGGTATCTTCTAGCGTATAGTGGGTCTTCACTATACGCTTCATGACGGTTACGGATGCGCCTGTCGCAAGACGTACCGTCATCCCCGTAGGAGGTGTGTCACATTCACTGAACTTGAAGTGACCATCTTCTAGCGATTGGCGTCGCACAAAATTGTTGGACGCCCCACAATCGACTAGAGCTCGAAGGGACAACTTATTCGTCACTTCGAGTTTCAAGGTAATGAGTGATACCTCATTACCTAGAGCAGCAACGCACAATGTTTGTGTGTTGGGAGCAACCTTCATCAAGAGGCCTACAAATTCTCTTGACGTTGCTAGACCAGTAGGGTGCTCCGCACCTACTGATCCTGTCCGTTTTTTGACGGTCCATCCCGTTGTTGCGTCTTTGCACCAACTGCGGACCCTCGTCCCTGCCCCTTTCTCATGGGTGGACGGTCATTACGCCCAGTGTTGCGAGACACTGGACGAGGGGCACTACACTCGTAAGCGTAGTGTCCTGTCTTTTGACATCTGTTGCATCTCTGCAACTTCTTGTAGCCTGTAGAGCGAGCCTTCTCGCTCTCTACATAACAGAGTTCCATCGGCTCTGGACCTCCGTTGTCATATCGTCTCGGTTGACGAAATGATGTCGAGCTGGCGCGAGCCTGTCTCAGACTGAAGTCTTCCTGCTCCGCAATGGAAATGGCTTGTTCTAGTGAATCTAGTTCAAGCCGGAACAGGTGAGTCTTGACGGGACCATCCGCAAGACCCTGCATGAACACCGAAACCAACGTGTGTTCATCCACCGGATTGGAACTCATACAACTCGTGAGATGTCGTATATGTTGAGCGTAAGCGTGTACATCACGCTTACCCTGCTTGAGCTTCAAGAGTTCGGTTCGAGATCTGAACTCAGCTCTAGGAGGTTCAAACGTTTGTCTGAGCCGCGACTTGAAGACTTCCAACGACCCAAACGCATATGGGTCGTGCAACTTGAGCCCCAGTGCCCAAGTCTTGGCACGTCCTGCCAGATTTGACTGGGCAAATGCAACTTGCATATCCCCGTCGTCGATGCGACGCGCCCTTATGGCGTCATCCAATTCGACGAACCATCTCAAGAGGGAGTCTTCTTCGACTCCCCTATACTTGGAGATGTCAATCTTCAAAGTCTCGGGTCGACGCGAGTGCATCGACCCACCAGCAGCAGCCTGCTGCTGTCTCAACAGTTCAAACTGTTAAGCACCCTGTTCTCTCAACAACTCTGCTTGTTGAGAACCTTGTTGGTGAAGCAAGGCTACTTTCTCGCGTTCAGCGTCAAGTTCATTTTGAATGAACTTGGCGATAGTAGCATGTTGGGCATCTCTATTGAGAGCCTCTAGCATGACGCTAACAGCATGGATGCCCATGGTCGAACCCATTCGTTCAACCGCATCCCATTTGACATCGCTCAAATGGGAGTAGCCGTCACGCGTAGCGTGAAAGCTTTGGTCATCTTCATCATCCAACATATTCATGTTGGATGTGAACGTGGTCCTTGGACGGACTACGAAGTGCTACCAGGTGTAACGGGGCACCCTGAAGCTTGTACTGGTGACAGTACAAGCTACTTATTCTGATGACAGAATAAGGCGGTGCCTGTAACTTCACGTACACTCGTACGTGCAGAGGAAGACGGTAAGAAGAAGCGAGTACTTGGTTAGAGTAAAAGTAGAACTGTATTTATAATAGTTAATGTCTGCAATAAATCACTATTTATCTTCATCTAACTATGTCTAAATACAAATGTGTAAATCAGTTATCTGCTCACCACTCATTGCGTGCGTCTGTCGTGGCGCGTCTTCGTTGGTTGATATAATGGCCTATATCAACCAATTAGGAACTACTTGTAAGTGCTACAGAATATTTGTCCTTATGACAATATTCTGAGAATATAACTCTTATAGTTATATTCTATTAACAATTTCTTATAAATTGTTATGTAACGATTCACCCCGTTACAAGTGTGGTCAGGAAACGACACTAGTTCTGGTGGAAGCAGACAAGCCGATACTATATTACGCACATTGTCACGGAGCAGAAACTTGCAAGCTAGCTAGCAATTCACACGGAAAACAAAAACATTCAGAGCTGATAATACGGACGACAACAACACTGCAGGAAGGATCTATTCACAGTGTTTAGGTCCTACCGATACAGACTCGTCTCCTTCCAGTTGGAGACAGATAGCTCTACCCTAAAAATAAGACGTGCTCAGTCAGCAATGTCCTAGCCTAAAGTGTGATGGGCGACTCTTTGATACGCGGGTACTATTAGGACTTGATAAAAAGCGTGAAAGACACAAAAAAGCACCAGAATGGTGAGGTGGACATGAGGTGTCAGATACACACGGGCTGGTATCAGGCACTGAGACGACATTATTCCACTGACGATCTGAAAAACAACGTACTAACCCAAATTAAGCCGAACGGGGGCAAATGGTGCTAGTCGTTTGATTACAAACTGTCGTCGGGTAAGCATCAGATGTTTAAAGTTGCGGGATCAGCAGCCATCTTGCAAGTCCCACGGTTAGATTACGCATCCAGCTCAAGCTCAAGCCTGTCTTGTTGACTGCAAACTTCCTCCTCAGAAATAGAAAAACCTCGTTTCTAAATGCATCCGCGACTCATCGTTGTCAAATGAATCTATCTACGTCCCCCTCTTTTATAAACAGATACAATATCTCATCATCTTTTTGTCACACGAAACCAATCGGAACGTGAACATCCAACGAGACAAGCCAACAACGTCAAGGACGACGGCAAAGACGATCGAGATGCAAGCGACTTTCCAGCCGTACGGGCGCGTGAGTTTCCGTGGAGAGCAGCGAAGAGGCGCAGCGTGTGATCCGCGTGTATCTCTGCTCATCGTCTTCCCCGTTCTCTGTCTCGTTGTGGTACTGTACGAGTTCCTCTACCTGCAAGAGTTTACAGCCAGCACGACGACAGGAGACGGTCCCGTTGCAGACCAAAGCGTTTATTTGAGGACTGGCGAGGAAGTGGCTGTCGAGTCGATGGCCGAGCCTTCGACGGCTCTTCCTTCGATTGTCAATGGACGTCGGACGATCGTTATGGTCGCCAATTACCGCGACTCGACAAGGTCGAAGCAACTGCAATGACAAAATTAATTCGACTGCTTAATGTATTACGAACTAATTTTTTATTGTTGCTTTTTATGAAAAATGTTTTTTTCTGGCAAAGGTGTGCGGAGACGCTGCGGTCGATCTTTGACAACGCAGCAGTGCCGGACAACCTGAAGATCAGTATTTACGACCAGATTTACCCTGCGAGGAAGGAGCGCCCTTGCGCTGACGCGTTTTGCGAACTTGTGGGGGAAGAAGACTGCCGCCGCTCACAAATTGTGTCGTCCCAGATTGACGCTGTCAATGCGACGGTAGGTCGGTGGAAAAGAGTGCAGCTCTTTGTTGTTCGTGCAGGGCTGATAATGGGGTTGTTGCGTCTCATTTTAATGCGATATAGGGACCCACTGCTGCGCGGTATGAGACGGAAAAGACGATCACGGACGAAGACTTTTGCCTGACGATTGACTCGCACATGCTTTTTGTCCGCAACTGGGACGAGAACGTCATCGCGCAGTGGGACTCGATCGACAACCCGAACGGCATCATCTCGATATACCCAAAGTCCACTGAGCATTTGACGAACCACGAGGTAGATGGCATGGTGCAAATCATGTGCATGTCGCGCATTGAGACGAAGGACCCAGACGCCATGGTGCAGTACGCGGCGCCCGCTTGGGTTGACAAGAAGGACATGCCGAAGCCGAGATTGATGTCGCAGCTAGCTGGTGGATTCAACTTTGGTAGTTGCAAGCCGGTGAAAGAGGTGCGCAACGACCCGTACACGCCGTACCTTTTCCATGGCGAAGAGTACTCGCGTGCGACGCGGCTCTGGACTGCGGGCTACGACTTCTACGCGCCCTCGGACGATATCGCTTATCACTGGTATGAAGAACGAAAGGTGGTATGGGAGCGCGACTGGAATAGGCGGTACAAAGTGCAGCAGAGGTCGAAGCGACGCGTTCGCTCGATCCTCAAACTGCCTGTCACGGAAGAAGACTTTGACCACACCGACCTGGAGAAGTTTACTCTTGGTACGAAGCGGACGTTGGAGCAATGGAAGAAGTTTTCCGGCATCGATCCTCTGGCGGAGTTTATTTCAGCTGAGGCTATTCAGTTTGACAACTGCGCGCAGCAGCTCGAGTACGTGCCGTACTAGGCCAATCACTTTGGCAGCAGTTTTGGATGTGGACGAGCGCTGGCACTGAATAATGGACAGTTGAAATGCTGTCGATTATAGCAAGTCAGCCAGTCAGCAGCTCTGTCCCTAATGATAATCAGTGTTTACAGCACATGAGCTGTCGCAAAAACAATCAATCACTTGTCCCATTCAAACGAGTTCCACTTGAGGATCAACGACCGACCGAACCATGACCCCGACCCAGCGTCTGGTGCTCCTCTCCGCCCTCTTTGCCTACGCTTGCCACACCGGACGCAGTCTCCGTCAACAGCACAGTCTATCCCAGCGCAGCAGCCCTCGTCTCCACTGGTCAAATGTTCTGCGGGCCGCTCTCAAGTACACGTGGATCGGGCAGCTCATTGCCAGCTCCGAGTACCTCTTGTGTCTCCTGAAGCCGTTCCTGGCAGCGAGGATCGGTCGGCTGGTACTATGGACACCTCGTGGTTGCTGCACCAATCGTCGCTACGGAGTCCACGAACGCCACCGACTCGACGTCTACGGGGTACAGGAAGGAGCTGTCAAGCCTGTGCTGGTCTTCATCCATGGGGGAGCGTGGTCCTATGGCCACAAGTGGCAGTACGCTCTCGTGGGACAGTATCTCGCCACGCAAGGGCTTTTGGTGGCTGTTGTGAACTACAGGACGTTTTCCCATGGCTCCGTGGTGGAGATGGTCGAGGACGTGGAGAATGCCGTGGGTGACTGACTAACTGACTGAATGGGAGCTTTCTACGCTGCGGATGCTTAGTAGTGTGCTTTTGGTGGTAGGTTTTCTGGGTTGCAGAGAACTGTCGTAAGCTTGGTGGTGATCGCAATAAGCTTTTCTTGAGCGGACACTCTTCGGGTGGACATGTCGGAGCTTTGGCTTTGGTCAACTCAGCCCTCCGTCTTGCCAGCAATGACACAAAGGTACTGTCGATATAGACGTGTGATGCATGTCCATTTGACGAGCTGATCTATATCTATCTTGTGGATGCAGACTGCAAAGGAAAAGGAGCTGACGAGCTACGTGTGCGGATTCATTGGCCTCGCGGCGCCGTATGACATCTCTGATCATTACATCTTCGAGAGCCAACGCATCGTGGGACCGTTTAATGGTACGCTTCCATGCAACGTGCGTATCGTGAGGCAGGTCAACTGATAAGACGTGAACTTCTTGTGCATAGGAGTGCATGAAATCTCATCCATGAAGCCTGCTATGCTTGGCATGGATAATTTCAAGAAATACAGTCCGACAGCGCTCGTCGAAGAAGCCAGACACACAGGTGCGGGGCTTGTTTGACTTGAGCTTTTCGAGAATCATGTCAAGTAACGAAGGTTGCGACTGCACGTGTGCAACTTCTCCAGCCTTTTCTCTTCCCCCGTTCTACCTCGTACATGGAGGAAATGACACGGTACGTCACTAGCTGTCGAGAGAGAACTTCCGATATGTTGTGCATACTGATCGATCCTTCATCCAGGTTGTTCCCCCGAGCTCGTCGATAAAGCTTGCGGATGCTCTGGTACGTGTAGCTTGGTAACGCTGTTGATGTAGTCGACTGTACGCCTGCTAACGCGTGTGTCGCTGACCTACACGATAGAGTATAGCGGGTCAAACTGCTGAATACTATGAAGTGGGCGATTGCACTCATGAGGACGTGGTGTTTGCAATAATGGGGGAGAACGTAAACTGCCGCGCGGCTGTGGTCAAAACGCTGAAGCGAATCATGTTGGCAGAGCCGGTAGGTTCAGCAGATGCGCTGCTCCCGGCTTTGACATCACCGCTGCCGCTCCCACCGAAAACATGACACTGGACGTGCAGAAGTTGAGCTGGAGTTGTGGCGCTAGCGAGTTGAGCAGATACCAATCGATGGTGGAACCAAGCCGACCTGACTCACGTCCGTCGTACTGGAAGGGCATTCATTATACATGATTCCGAGCGAACTCATTGCCAACCACTCTGTCCAGTCGTTGCTCGATCGACTTGTAGTGGTGCCTCTTCCCTCTTGCCCCATGTGAGCCAGTACGTCATGCATCCACATCGCTTGCCAGTTGTCGAACTATCGCTTGCTTGATTTTGCTCGCTACTACGACGGCATCAAGTGTCGTAAAAAAGGAGCGCCATCGCCTACAGCACCCAATTCATTCCTCCTATTCCCAAGCTCAAAGCCTCTCCATCTCAAGCAGTCGCCGTTACGCTGCACACCCACAGCTCTGCCCATGCTCCACCGCCACCTATTCGTGCCCAGTGCAAAGCAGCCCCATCGATAGTATCTCGTAGCCGTCACTCACTCCTTCAGCGCCGCAACGCTGCACACGCAGCATCCAAATGACCAAACACCGTCTCAAGCCGCTGTGGCGCTGAGAAAGCCACGACCACGAGCCCAAACGGGAGCTTCTGCACCACGAGTCCACTCGTTTTGCCGCTTGTGACGGCACAGAAGCTCGAGAAAGTAGCGGACACGACGTGGAAGACGGTGGCGCCCAGGCGGATCGAAGGCGTCCCGCTCTCTCTCTGGACGTGAGTCGCCTCTTGAATGGCTTGACGCGTGAGCTGCTCGAAGAGCGCCACGAGCTGCAGCGGATCCACGTCTAGAAACGCGCTCGAGGACGAGTGGAAACACCCGTCCGAGAACAACTCCGAGCAACCGGAGAGCGTGAAGACGCACACGCCGTCGTACAAAGGGTCTCCTCTGCTGCTGCTGCTGCTGCTGCTGCTTTGACTGTCAGGAGAGTGCAGGAGAGTCGAGAGGAAGCGGCGCCAGGACCGCGTGTTGCGGGTAGCCATGGACGGAGGAATCGCACGAGTGTCTCGACGTGTCTGTCGGTGGACAACGCACCGCAAATTGACGAATGGTGCACTTTTGACTGGCGCTCGTGGGAGGAGACTCGATCTACAGGCCAAAGACGCGCATGATGGCGCCAAAGGTGGACGTCGACTGGCTGTGCTTGTAGCGCTTACTGCACTGCCGTAGCCTCGAGACGTCCACGGTGACGCGTTTGCGCTGCAGCAGGGCGACCATACGCGGAGAGCTCAGGAACTACAGACAGACGATCGAGTCAGGAGATACGAGGTGGATCAAGCAAGCAAGCAGGCGGTGACTCCGTGGACGTCTGGACTGGCCGCACCTGACAGAGCTGCGTGACGTTCTTGGGTTTCCTGGTCAACGAGCACTTTTCAAAGTCCACGAACGTGCAGCGCCACGTGTTCAGCTGCTGCTGCTGCTGCTGCTGGCTGGAGCGATGCACGATCACGTGGCGATGCGGGTGCGTCATCTCGTCCTTGTTCACGCCCAGGAGGTCCATGGCAAAGCACTGGAACGCAAGAGTCAGTCACGTACGTGTCGAGTCAATGCTGAACGGAGCTGCTCGGCGTACCTGGCACAGCATCTCACGGACGACCCAGACGGCGTTCGCTGGAGAAACCGCTTCATCGGCTTGGGCGAGGAACTCCACCACGTTCTTGCCCTGCAGTCGTTCGCACAAGAACCAACCAGCTCCTGCGTCCAGCAGCTTCGGGCCAAGTCCCATGCGGTTCACCACACGAAGCCATTGCGCTTCCAGCGTCACTGAGGCAGTACAAGACGCACTGGCTGCCAGTTTCGCCACCACTGGCTCACAGCCCGAGCACGTCTCCCCAGCGTACAAGACGCCGCGCTTCCCCCGAGCGAAGAAGCGCAGGTTGGTCACACGCGTCTCCAGTAGTTGCAGCGCTGCGGTTGCAGCGGTGGACGTGAGTTTGTCGATCTTCTCGCCTTCGAGCTTCCACTTCTTCCACCTGGTTCCGTAGCAGACAAACAACAGCAGCAGCAGCTGCAGCACAGTAAGACACCGCAATGACGATCGAGACCACTGACTCGTTCAGCTCGTACCGCTCAAGATGTGCCGAGTTATCGTCACGAGTAGCGGTGAGTGCATCTCTCGTCTCCTCACGATCGTTGGCTGCGGATACTTCTTCGCGGATCTCAGCATTGACGCGAGTGACTCCGTGGAGCTCGAATACTGCAGACTTGACGTTCTCGCGCTCGTGGCTGGACAGCAACGACTGGAGCACCTCGAAACGTGCCAACACGGCGATCTGCCACATGGTCTCACCTAAGGAGGGAATGGCTGGCTGGCTGGCAGGCTGATTAACTGACTGGTTGACTGGCTGGTTGACTGGGTGGGTATTCAGGGAACCCGTTGGACTGAACGCAATACCGTGGTCTCGATATGTCTATTGCTCGCTCGTTACTCGCTACATGTACAGGTCCAAGAGGAACTTCTTGTAGATCGTCATGAACTTGGCCAAGAAGGCTTCAAAGTGGAAAATGTCCTTCGAGCCGCGCTGCATGCGGTGTTCGTAGTACGAGGCCCATTGCACGAGCTCGTGCTTGAGGTCGTCGTCCAAGCGGCTCATGAGTTCACGGCAGAGCACCTTGAGGATCACCTCGGACGGCACACAGTTGGAGATGAGTTCGTAGATCATTTCACGCGCTTTCAAGAGACTAGAGACACAGCAGCAGCAGCAGCAGCACCAGCAAGAGTAAATTAGCTCAACCTTGTCGCACGCACTCTGTCTCATTCCCGTCTGCAACGGAACGTACCCAGCAGGCGACTGCTCCTGCAGCACCACCTTTGCCAGACTGCAAATGTATTCTTCCCATGCCGGCAACTGAATCTGTTGATCGGGTGAGAACGGATAGCTGCAATAACAACAACAACAACAACAGCCGCATGAACGACCGTCAGCACAACTCCACAAGCACCACACATCAAGCATCACACAGCACAGAACCCACGCCTTCCAGCTGCCACTCACTTTTGCACACGACACGTTTCGAGCATGAGCAGCGCTCGTCGAAGGTTCCGCTCGCTCTTTACCGCAATCTGCTCGCCCAGCGGGGCGCAGTAGTCGATCCCCTCCTTCACACACACTCCTTGTAAAACGGCGCACACTTGTTCAGTCGTCGGCGCGCCGACGCGCACACCGAGACAGCGACTGCGCAGCGGATCGATCACTTTCGACGGGTTATTGCAGCACAGCACCAAGCGGCACGTGGCCGTGTACTTCTCCATGGTCCGACGCAGCGCGTGCTGCGCGTGTTTGCTGAGCCGGTCCACTTCCATGAGCAGCACGACCTTGAAGGGCTGGCGAGCGTTCGTGTCCGCCAGATGGTACTGCGCGATCTCCTTGAGCACTTCTTGCACCACGAGGCGGTCGCTCGAGCCGGCGTCCGACGGGTTCATCTCGATGTGGAAGTTGCTGGCCACGGTCGTGATCTCCACCTTCGTGCTGCGGTTCGGGGCCTTGAACGACTTGTGCTCGAGCCGCACTTTGAGAGCGCCGTCGCCGTAGAGAGCGCGCAAGAGCGCCATGATGCGCGTCTTCTTGCCAGCGCCAGAGGGGCCGTAGACGAGCAGGTGCGGCAGGTCGGATGACTGCGACAGGTTCGAGAGGCGCTTGGTCACTTCGGGGTGGAAGTCGAGGGCCGACAGCGACGTCGGGCGGTACTTGTCGACCCACAGCATGTTCGGGTCGGGGTTGAGATGGCGATGATGTTGGCAAGTGTTGGGTCGTGGGTGGAAAGTCCTGGGATCGGAGATGGGTTTTATTTGGAAAAAGAGAGCGACGGCAGCGTGTGTGTAGCTTGTCGTGAGCGATGACTAGGGTGGACACTGTGAAAAAAACACCACCACCACCACCACCACCACCATTTCTGCCTCATAAAACACCACTTTTGTCTATCTATGCACGATTTGTGTGCCGGCTATTTCTCAGTGCTATCATAGTTGTTCTATGGAGTTGTACCCAGTACCAGTACCTCCAGCTTTCCGATTTCCCAGATCTAGTACCTTTCCCAATTGTAGTACCAGTTTCTCCCAATATTGTGTGTGACTACACTAAACTACACCACATAGTAAATAGCTGACAACACGCATTCGCTCATCGATCTGCGTCAAGTATATGGGACGACAGGGCTTTCACTAGGACAAAGGTTTGAGTCCGGATCCAAGGCCACATAATTTCTGTAAGACTACTGCTTAAATGCAAACAAGATGTACATCATGACAAGCGGCAGTGGGAAATGCACTAAGTATGGCTATGGTGACAAGGAATGCACATGAAGTGCGCGTAAGTCGGCAAGTGGATGGGGTTATGTACGTCTCTACAATCAATGACAATACTTTTGTGCGTCCATGCCAAAACCAACTCAACGACGGATAGTCAAGTAAAGCGTTTGGGGTATATAAAAAAAAAGATGATAGCCTCTTCTTGACAGTCGATTCGAAAACATTCGGTCAGCGTAAAACTAATTGCGCTAAGCGATAAATCAGCAATTGTGTTATTCCGCACGACCCAGCATGAACCATGTCTGTCACACCGCGCTAATCTTCATCACTACCAGACCTTGCTATATCTGCAGTTACATGGCTGTAACTATAGCATTAGCGTCAAAATGTTTGATTCGCTCTGGTGGTGAATCACAATTACGGATTGCACCTAAATTTATCGCTGGCGCCGATGCTGCTGAGCTTCGCGCTGGTGTTGAGGACTTCATTGCAATGATGCATGACATTGCCGCTTTCCGCCATCTTCATGCTGAACAGCTTTCGCTTCAAGAAGGTCCATAAGCTGCCTTCTACGACCCACCATACAGTTTCTTCAAACGCGCCCACGCGACCCATGCTATTTTGCTTTCATCAACCACATGATGGAAGTCGGCGTCCATGTGCAGTAACATCAGTCAGAGCGAACTTTTTTTCGTCTTGATATAATCGTCACTGTCGCGAGTATTCGATAAGGTTGACGTCGTCTCTCGGTTGACCACATGCCACGTCGACTTGGTCTGGAACGCCACACATGTAGCGGCTCCACGTCGCGAACTTGTCCCCATCAAATTTGTCAATGAAAAACTTGGTAATGGAACCTTTTGCAGAGGAAATCTCCTGTGGGCTCTTGAAATGTCAGATGAGTCATCGAAGACGCTTAAATACACGAAAGAAATTAGCACACAAAGTAAAGACAATCTTTGTTGGAGAAGTAAAATCGGAAAGCAAATAATGTATTGGAGCTTATTCTACATGCACATGATTTAAATATGTGTCCAAATATAATTCAGGTGCGTCTGTTCACGCTCTTATTTACAAATAACCGCATATAAAGCATGTGCGACTGTCTGTGCACTAATTTATAATAACGACGTACAAATCGAGTAGATTCCCGTCAATATAAAGATCGGATAAACTCTGAGGTAGTTGCCCTTATAAGAACCATGCCATTAGAAGTTATTACTCTTGCAGATCGGATTGTACAGATAATCCCTCAATACGTACCTTCAATATGATTACGTGTGAATGCCGATATCTGCCGTCATGTCTTTGTGGCGTGATCCCAAAGTTCCTTCGTCAAGATGTCCGCCAACGTAGACGCCGTTCTGCTGAACTGAGCTTTACTTCTCCGCGCTTCACTCCATCACAGATGTGATGTTACTTGATTTTAATGTGCCTGCCTCAACCAAATTTCACTGGAATTTTCGTCATCTCGATAAAGAGGTGATTGTCTTCAGCAAAGACAAGCTAAATTCCAATTTCTTTGGATTCCTTCAACACCTCACACAGCAAGCGATAAACCTACTTGCCTCTTTGATTAGCCAGGCAGAGTACGATGTCTTCCGCCTCGCTCGTTGGAAGTGACACATTTGACTGTTTCTTGCTTCCCCAGCTCCACAGGCGCGCCCACCAGGGTGATACGCATCATGGAGTCAAATTGCGGTCCGCATGATCACCAACCCAAATCCGCGTCGGATGTCCGCAAAAGGATACCATATCACCAGATTTGGAACATGATTCATGCAGTTTGACTATTTGCAACTAGCAAACGATGCGTTTCACCGCAGTTCAATGAGTGTCGTGAGGATCATCCATGAAGAGTGAGACATACCCAACTGCAAATGCAATGTCAATTTAATTCGCTGTCTTGGGATACACAAGTGCACCTGCAGCTTCGCAAAATGGCGCATTGAATTCGGTCGTAGAGTCACTTGACACCAATCATAAACCAATGCCTACCGGAATTGCCAATGTCTTGCATTTCATCTGGGGCGAAACGCTTCAGGATATCGTCTACATAGCACCGCTAGCACAGCTGGCGCATCGTCAAACTTTCATCAGATCCATAAATAAGCTTTAGTCACAGCAAAAACGCGCACTTGCCACTTTCGGCCATCTTAAACTGTGTTTAAAGATTGCTCTTAGTGCACGTATCAGATCTATTGAGCTTTTAGTCGTTTAAACATCATCGACGTACACCAGTAGCAGCACGCAATGCCCTTCAATTGTTTAATGTAAAAGCAAACAATAAAAGCCAACGCTTAAATCCCGATGGAGCATACGAATTCGTCCAAGGTCTCGTTCCATAATCGAGACGTTTGTTTCAGGCCAAAAATGCATTTTACCAACTCAAGACAGTCAAATTCATTGTAGGACTCTAAAACTGCGGGAATCGAAAAAAAGACTTTTCCATCACGACGCCACAGATAAATGCCGTAAAAACTTCAAGTTGATCCAGGTGCCAGATGAACTATTTTGCTGGGTTAACAAATAAACGCACATCACGGGGAAGTATTCGACAACTAGAGACAATGTCTGAGTGTAGTCGACACCACCCTTTTGTTTCAAACCATTGGCTACTAGTCGCGCCTTAAACTTTTTAATGGTTCCGTCACCTGTTCACTTGATTTGAATACGCACTTCGTGCCGATAGCGCGATACCCATTCGTAAACATATTGGCTCAAAATACACCTCGAAATCGCATCGACTTCAGCTCCGCGCGCACAGCCTTTCGCCAATGAGCTTGATCCGGTCCACCAACAGATATTTAAAATATCGCTAGATCAGGAAAATCTTTAGCTTCGACTGCATTGGCACTGGTACGCCAAAATAAGGAGGGCTCGCATCTCGTTCATTGTCTTAATCGTTGCCTTTGTTCTTCGTCCTATTCGACGCGGGTACCTGGTCTTCGTTTCGCACGAACTTCTTTGTTTAAAGCACTTGCTTTTTCAAGTTAAGCCCCACAACGGGCGTGATATAAGATTCGAAAAGTCGTTTTTGTGTTTCCAGCTTAGTTTTCGTATTATGCCATTCAGGTTGAATTTCGTTTCATCAGGTCCATTATCGATTGCAAGTGAGTCGAAGTCCAACGCAGCGTCTATGATGACTTCTTCCAGGAGTGTTGGCGAAAATCAAAGGAGCACATACCAAAGTTGACATCTCGGGTGATCACCACCTGATCTGCCTGGATGTTGAAGACTCAATACACCTTTACCTGTCTTTGTACCCCATTAGCGGTCCTTCACAAGCTTTTTGATCCCACATAAGTCGCTTTTCCTTTGGAGTGAGGACATGTACACGACATCCGAGCGCTTTCATGTGTTGGATGCTTAGCTTGGACTTGTACATAATCCAAACGGATTCTTGTCTTTGAATTTGGGCGAAGGAAGGCGTATTGATGTAAATTGCAGTCACCGCGAACTTCAGTCCAGAAGCACTTGTCCAATTTTGCATGACGAAGCAAAATGCGCCCGATCGTGACAACGGTCCGGATGGCACTTTTGCTGTGTCACTGGTCTGATGCGCGTACAAGACTGCGACTTGCTAATCGAGGACTTGTTCCTCACATAAAGCCTTGAATGAATACATCGCAAATTCGCGCGCTTTATCGTTTTGGACTAAAGTCACCTTCTCGTTGAATTGTGTCTGCACCACACGGCATATTACTTTTGGCACGCTTTACTTTCCGACTTTGCCTGTTAAAAGAAGCCCTTCATCCACCCAAAGGCTTCTTAACCAACCAGTAGCGGATACTAGCTGCCACTCAGTGAGTTATCATCCATAGGGTCGCACGTGTCGATGTGAAGCAGCTCTAACGTGTCATACCGGTGTTGTCAGGTTTTCTTGGGAACGTTTTTGGCTAAATATTCCTTCTTGACAGCCACGATGCATTTTTAGCCCACACGGAACTGATTGCAACTGCGCATTGTTAAAGCCTAAAGAACACTGAGCGAGGATACAAAGCTTGAAGAAAGCTAAAGAAGTCTACACCACAAAGTGAAGACGACTTGTGCTGAAGAAGGAACGTTTAAAAGTGATTGATTCATAGGTATCAACTCTGCCCACGCTTGACTGCATCCAATACCATGGTGCATTTAATCAACCTGATTTACACGCGTCCAATCATCCTACGCGTCTAACCAACTCTGAAGTAATCACCGAAGTAAAAACTATTTCGTATGCACCACGCTCGAGTATCGGATTGTACCAGTAACCTTCAATGCGCACCCTCAATGCACACTCTCAAAGCAAACATGCGTGAATGTCGAGAGCCGCCGTCATGTCTTTGTGGCGTGGTCCTAGTAGTCCCTTCGTCATGCTGTCCGCCAATCTATTCGTCGTCTCACAAGATTCCAGCCTGACTTCCCCGCGCTTATCCTCATTACGGATGTAATGGTACTTGATTTTGATGTGCTTG